CAAAAGTGGAAAAATCTCGACAAACGATTGTATAAAACTTCTCGGCCTCAAACTAATTTTCATGTCTGTGTGTATGTGTATTAATTAATGCAGCTTTGACGTTAAGCATTACACACAAAGAGGAATAGAGAATAGAATATTTATCAAGTATATAGTAGTTATTTTAATTTGAATTAATCTTAAATTTGACGTAAAAAAGAGGACAGAAAATGTTCACATGTGAAATGCATTGACAAGGGCTGTTTTCGATTTTTGGATTTGGGAATAAGGAAATTAGAATAGGAAAAATATCGCTACCACATAAGTCATTGCAAATTTTCCATACGGCGAAGGGTGCAAATTGGGAGGAACGCAAAATGTTAAGTCGATGTGAGTAAATGTGTAGTGGGTTGATGATATCATAAATACACTAAATTTGGCTTAAATATGTCCACCGAGTGAGCCCTAGTTTTGTTGCCAACTATTAAAATCACCTGTGATTATGGCTGGAGTATTTCGATAGTAAAGTGTGTTATTAAGATTGTTGCAGTTAAAATGTTTGCTTTGTTTAATATAAACCGAGAATATTGATACTATTTGTTTTGAATCTATTTCTATTGCGACAGTTTCTAAGTCTGGGTTGACAAATAGTTCTGTATATTGTGTTGATTTATGTATTAGAACACCTCCTCCGCCAAATCTATTGCTCGTAGCTAATAGGAGTGTTAGGTTATTGCTGGTAGTTGTGTGTGTTTCTTGAATAGATATAAAATGAGGTGGGTGTTCTTTTATTATTATTAAGAGCTCACTGTAATTGTTGACATATCCTTTGATGTTCCATTGAATGATATTAAGAGTCATCGAGAAAATATATAAGTGGGAAATTAATATGTCGAATTTATATAAAGTTAGCCATATTACAGGGAGTGGTTGCGTTTGTATTATTTAGAGTCCCCGGCTGACTAACTTAGAAGCCCGTCTCTACAAAGATGAGCCTCCCAGTCAGCCAGTCGGCTACAAGAGGGGCTGAGGCGCTTATAAACACTCCATGTTGTCGGAGCTGGATAGATCAACTTGGCTATTGATGCGGATCAAGAATATATATACTTTATGGGTGCGGAGATGCTCCAGTCTGCCTGATAACATACATACATTTGCACAAATACATTATACCCCTTTCAACCATTTTTAATGGGTTCAGTGTATAAAAAGATGGGCCATTCAGTGGAGACCATAGTTTTCCTTACAAAACTACTCTTTGATAAGCGAGAAACTCCAAATTATCCAGATGAGCAATCGGAGAAGTTCACTTGTTTGAATGTACAAATAATACCTTACTTTGCGATTCTCGTGCGTTCATTACAAAGCGATACTAACAAGATGAGTTGGAAATCTAACAAACTTTATTTCCGTTCAAACTCTTGCTCTTATTTGCTCTCTGGCACTCTATCTTCCACCTACTAATAATAATAATAATTTTCTGGTAGATAAATATTGTTAGATGTTGGGGGGTGAAATACTGTTTAGTCTTCTAAGATTATTGGACTGGGCCAACTTTCTGTTTTAATTAAAGCACAATCGATCTCTTATTTTCCATTAATAACCTATATGTATAAAAGAACACCGCGGCGCCTTGACATCTTTGGATCTTGGAACTATTCATATCTTTAAGTGGGAAAGTACTCCTATCTTCAACACCCCGAATAGTTAATACTCTTGTTGACATTTACTTTACGGCTTTGCAGATTTTTGAGAATAGTGAAGCTCCTTAATGCTGAGTTTAAGTAAAATATCGTGAAAACAAGAATATTTTGCCATACAAAAACTAATTTTTCGACTAATTTTTCCCAAAGAGCTATAATATCTGGGCGTCGTGCTGGATATATATATATTGTGGTGCGACCTTGATAAGACTTTGCTCATATAAACAGCATAGTTAAGAGACTAAACGCCGAGCTTGGTTGTGATAGAAGAAAATAATTTTCGACCGATCGTTCTTATAACAGCTATATGATATCGCAGTCAGATCCGGCAAATTCCAACATTTGCTTACAACAGAAATACGGCCATAGCTATTTCGACTCTGCTGTTGATGCTGATTAAAATCATATATATTTTATGTCGGTAATGATTTCAAATTTGTTCATAAATTAACTACAAGTTTTAGATACACATTTATACATATTTCGAAAGGAAACTATTAACAACTCGGGTAGCATCACATTCAGATTAATTGTATATTTTACAGAAGCACTTCTACGAGCTCTTACTGGTTTTCCTGTTCTATACTCTATTAATTTGGCATAATGTAAAATTCCATATCTTATGGCGTCTTCGTCCAGTTTAAAAGTCTTGTTTGTGCAAGTTGCTCTCAAATCATTAAAATATCGTAGACTGTAATTAAAGCAGTGCATGTCTGCATAAGTAAAGCTCACATATTCAAAATTAGCTCCTCCATCTTTTTTTCCTTTTATCTTATAGCTTTTCGGTTCGACAGTAATTACATCGACGTTCGCAAGTTCTGAAGAATAGAATGACACCAGAATAACATAGTGGCCTGGCTGATCAGGACGGGTTTGCCAAACCGAATATTTGACATCCTCCCTCGTTTGTGGATCATTCCAACGGTACATCAAATCTTGGCTAACAACACTTTTGCAAACTTGATGGAGTTCAAGGCCTTTTGCGTAGTCGCATTTTCCAGTACTTCGCATGTAAGCCTTCTCAGCGAATATGAGTAGTATTACCAACCATAGCCAGGACTGTACCAAAAATGCCCAACAGTGCGTCATAATTTTTATTAAAATATATGAACCTTGTATTTTTAAAATTTGTACCAAATATATTGACTATAGCTTCAAGGCTTAGAATGATATTGATTGTATATTATCCATAAACATCGTTTCACTAATTTAGATAAATAAAAATATGTAAATATGAATTTAATCTCTATATAACTGTCCTGAAAGCACAGCTGCTTGATAAAAATGCAAGATATGACGAAGCTTTTGGAAATTCCACCGTCAAAAGTGGAAAAATCTCGAAAAACGATTGTATAAAACTTCTCGGCCTCAAACTAATTTTCATGTCTGTGTGTATGTGTATTAATTAATGCAGCTTTGACGTTAAGCATTACACACAAAGAGGAATAGAGAATAGAATATTTATCAAGTATATAGTAGTTATTTTAATTTGAATTAATTTTAAATTTGACGTAAAAAAGAGGACAGAAAATGTTCACATGTGAAATGGATTGACAAGGGCGATTAAAAGGGCTGTTTTCGATTTTTGGATTTGGGAATAAGGAAATTAGAATAGGAAAATTATCGCTACCACATAAGTCATTGCAAATTTTCCATTCGGCGAAGGGTGCAAATTGGGAGGAGCAAAATGTTAAGTCGATGTGAGTAAATGTGTAGTGGGTTGATGTAAATGTGTGGGTGACTTGTCGGTTAATATCATAAAAACACTAAATTTGGCTAAAATATTTCCTCTTCTTTGTTTTGGGCCCGAGTGAGCCCCAGTTTTGGCGCCAACTATTAAAATGGGCCAGCTTGCTGTTTTAATTTAAACACAAACGATCTCTTATTTCCCTTCAATATATGCTTGCAAGAACACCGCGAAGATTCGACAGCCTTGGATCTTGGAACTATTCATATCTATAAGGGGAAGACATATTTTTATTTCCAGGCTTGCCCTTCACTTCTTATCGGATGGTGGAAAAGACTTTATACATCTTATACTTATATTTCATCCCTAAAAATAAATGTTCCGCCAGAAATATTTACAATCATCTGTTGTGGAGACTTTAGTTGCTTCAAAAAACTAAATTCTTCTCTTGAGCTTGCCAAGCAGAACGTTAGAGGTTTTAAATCTGATCTTTTTAGCCTGTACGTAGATACTGTAATTAATTTTCACATTATAGCTTTTACTGTAACCTGATTTAAGCCGGATATCTCATTCCTCAATGTTTACTTCCAAATACACCACTTATAGATGTGATCGAGGAGTACTCATAGCTGTTGAGTCTGTTCTTTCGTTGGAACGCATCGATCTTCCCATCTCGGAGATTTCGGAAATTTCTGTCTCTTTATTCCATGTTCCTATATCCTTCCACTATCTAACGCTATTAAATCTATCTCATCCCTACTTTCTGATAGGGAACTCTTAGTTGTTCTTGGAGACTTTAATCTTCCAGAAGTTGATTGGTCATCGCCATTGGATTCAAACTTTCTGTTGCCCTCTTTGTCAAATGAATTTGATGTTCTACATACAATGTCATTACGGCAGGTTAATCGGGTGCGTAATTCAAGAAAAAGATCTCTTGATCTGATCTTTGTGTTGGATTCGATCAAACGGTTTTGTGACCAGGTTTGACCCGCTTGCACTTCCAGAAGATCCGTTCTTTTCGAAAAGCTGCTTTTCATAAGCTAAATGATCTTATTCTGCAAGTCGATTGGTCCCAACTGTACAGTTGTGCAGACATTGATGTTGGCATTAAACTATTTTATGATACCTAGCACTCGCTCGTTGATATCTGCGTTCCTCTTGATCATCCAGCGAGGTCTGGTAGGCCTCCCTGGTTCTAAAGGCAGTTAATGAGATTAAAAAATATGAATACGAAGTGTTATAAAAAGTTTATGAAATCGGACATCACTCTGATTTCTCCCGTTATGCAGTTGCTCCAAAAAGTTTCCTACGCAAAATTCCTTATGCTATAAGGATTACCTTCGCCCTTCAGTTTCCACATAATCCTAAGCAATTTTATAACTTTGTCAATTCTAAACATAAGACATTATTTTTTCCATCTTCGGTTAAGTTTGCAGATGAGAGCGCGAAAACTGATCCAGGCATTTCTGATCTGTTCGCTATCTTTTTTCAAACTACCTACTCCTCTGAGTATAATAAAAATCAGCCTTATCCTTATCAGTTACAGAGGTCACCGGACCCTGATGGTGTTCCTGCTTGTGTGATCAGGTAAACCTGTTTTTAAAACTTAAAACAGTTTTATATACAGAGATGACAATTCCAAACAATTCATAAATAAACTACAAAGTTTAGACACACATTTATACAAATTTCGAAAAGACACTATTAACAACGCGGGTAGGTGAACAATCAGATTAATTCTATTTTTAACGAGGCACTACTGTCTCTGTTATGACGCCTTATTCTTGCGGCATAATGCAATATTCCATTTCGTGTGGCCCCTTCGTCCTGTTTATATTTCGTGTTTGTGCAAGTTGCTCTTAAATTATTAAAATATCGTAGACTGATATTAAAGCAGTCTATGGTCGAATGATTGAGGCGCATATATTCAAATTTATTTTCTACCAATGTTTTTCCTTTCATCTTATAGCTTTTCGGTTCAACAGTGATTACATCGACTTTTGCAAGTTCTGAAGCATGGAATTACATAAAGGCCTGGCTAATCGGAACGAGTTTGCCAAACCGAATATTCAACACCCTGCGGCGCACAATTATCATGTCGACGGAACATCAAATCTTGGCTAACAAAACTTTTGCAAACACGATGGAGCTCAAGGTCTTTTTTCAGTACTTGTTATGTAAGCCTTCTTAGCGAATATGAGCAGTACTCCCAACCATAGCCAGAACTGTACCAAAAACGACCAACACTGCGTCATAATTTTTTTTAAAAACTAAAACTTGTATTTTTAAAATTTGTACCAAATATATTGACTATAACTTCAAGGCTTAGAATGATACCGATTGTATGTTACCCATAAACATCGTTGCACTAACTTAGATAGATAAAATTTATAAAAACCTTATTTTATCTCAATATAAATAAATAAAACTATCTTGAAAGCAGGCACACAAAGGAGATTGTATAAAACTTTTCGGCCTCAAACTTATTTTCATGTGTGTATGTATATTATTTAATGCAGCTTTGATGTTAAGCATTAGACACAAAGAGGAACAGAAAGAGCATAAGCAACAACAGCATTACGACGCTGCTAAGCAATGCTTGAAATGGAAACCCACTGCATGGTGGGTGGCGTTTTTCGTTCAAATTCATTTCCAAGGATCTATGTGAAAAATCAATTGAGACGTGTTTCACAATTTTCGCAAAATCAAAGCTTCCTCTGTGGAAAGTGCGATTCTACGATTATTTTGGTGAAGTTTAAAGTTTTATCCGATTTGCTTCAAACTTATTTTCAAAGCTCTACATAAGAGTTCAATGAATAAGTGTTTCAGCGATTTGGGAAATTCCACCCGCAACAGTGGTAAATAGGCGGAAAATGTTTGTATAAAAGTTGTTTGTTTACCGACTGATCAGTTTCAACATCATTTTTAAAGATTTTTGAGAAGGTGTCGGTAGTCACTCTCATCAAAATTTTTTGCACCACCGTCACCATCGATACTATCTATTTAATCTATTAAATTAAATTAAAATGAAGTTTTCTCACTCTTTTGCTGTTTTTCGCATCTGTGATTTAAGGATAACATTTGTAATCAAAAAACTAGTTAAACTTATATCGAGAATTGAAAACAACTAGAAAGGAACGAAAGCGTATGGCTTATCAGATATGTGGGGAAAATTGTAAAACTGGTAATTGCAGAGTTTACTCAAGACATGTATCTTGTATATAGCATATACTAGCTTATGGATTATCCGTTATGTGGGGAAAATTGTGAATTGGTCATTGCAGATTTTTTTCCGTATACTTATGTATGTACCTCGAAGAACTTTTTTCCATACAAAAAGTCAGCTTTCGACCAATTTAGTAGTCCGATATTGCGGTCGAAGATGCCTACCTCTATACCCTACACATTTAATGACAGTATCAAATCAAGTCAATCAAATCTCTGAGTAGGGTAGTATCACGCGAACAACGCGAGCAAATATCCTCCTCTATATTCAAAGAGAAGTATTTATAATCTAATATAATATATTAAGAATAAAATATATAATATAAATAAAAATATCTTAATATATAATATTAACAAAAATAAAAATTACTTGGTTCTTATGAATTTTAGATATATATCAAAATTTGACATTAACTAAAGTTTCGACAGAAGACAGGGCCCACTCAGTATGTAAGCCTCATAGCCCGAAGGTGCAATAAAAAGAATGAGTTGCTGTTGTTGTTATTGTTGTTTTAGATGGTAGCCAATAGAGCTATCTTTTAAATATAGCGAAAGCGACGCAGATCGTGAGAAGAATTGTCAAAACATTTTGCATGGGTCGCATTCGAGCAAGTTGTTGTTGTTGTTGTTGCTGTTGTTGTGTGGTGGTGCACTCATAAGTGCATGCGGTTCTTGGCAAGCAAAAGGCGTCCTCACATCCAAGCCCATTGACCATTTTGGCCCGAGCTGAGCAAACGCTTTCTATGGCCGCATGGTTAATGACAGTTTCGACAGTTTCGGTTTTGATTGCTGTCACATCAAAAAATGGAGTCTCCACCACCCCACCACATGTACGGGGCATGGTAATGTGGTTGTTGACACTAATTATAACTGGAATTGCATGCGGCTGGGTGCCTGTCGGCTGGCCGGCCCGCATGACAGGCCTGCCTGGTTGCCTGTCCGGCTTCCCACTGCCCCACTGGCTCTGCCTCTGCGGCTGCCGCTGCTTGCCTGCCTGCCTGCCTTGGGCGTGCGTATCCACCTGCAGCAACTCGGTCAGTTTTTCATTATTTTCATGCTGCATTTAGCTCACGTTTTAATTAAGTCGTCGCCGGAGTCGCCATCAACGTGCAATTCGTCGTGATCGTTGTTATTGTTGTTGTTGTTGCTGTTGCTGTTGTCGATGCCTTGGCTGGGGCTGGGTTTGGGGATGCCGGGTAGCGGGGCATGGCTGCCGGCACTGCTGCACTTGCATGTAAATCTGCTCATCACGGCTGATGGCATATTACAATTCAACGCTCCTGTCACCTGACCAGCCGCTCCCCTCAGCCACCCCAAAAAAACCCCCTTCATTGCAAGTGCAGCGAAATGAATGCGATTTGCAGTCGACGCGTCTCCGAGTTGCAGTTGCAGTTGCAGTTTTGCTGCAGCCTTTCGCCATGTTTTTCTCTTTATGGATTTTCACTGGACTTGCTGCTTGTCCGTTGACACGTAATGTTCCGTTTTTGGAAAATGTGAACACGCTGTTGTTGTTGTTGCTGCTGCTACTGCTGTCGCTACTGGCGAGCCAAATTGCAAAAATGCTTTGGAATGTTTATTGTTTGTTTTTTGCGTCGCTTTTTACAAGTTATACACAACTATAGATTCACTTGCACTCGAGCTGGACCTACCGCACAGAAAACGCAGTGAGCTTTGATCTTCTGCCTAAATTATAAATAAAGATTTCATCATCTTCATCAACATGTGCCCGGCCAGACAGCCCGATGGGCGGTACGGGCGTTCCGCGTCTCGCTGCCAATTACTGTGCACAAACCGCATAAAGAATATAAGAATATATGTATATATATGTACATATATATTTATATATGTTTGGGAATACATAGGAAGACATTTGAAATTCACTTTGTAGTTTTGAATACCTGACACGTTCTGGAATTCAAATGCAAATGTGCACTTGAATATGACAGCCTTTATGATATTTTCAAATGCAAGCGTTTGTTTTAGTAATTTTTGCCTTCCTATTTGTCATTGCTTACTTAAGAATTATAAAGAATAAGCATTACTTTGTGTGCGGAATATCAAAGGTGGATCAATAAGGAAATGATGAAATAAGCGACTAGTTTAAAAAGAAGAAACAAACAAATGAGTAAATGGTCAGTATGTGAGTGCAAAAATATATAATGCAAATTCTTTGGAGTCCACAATGGGATCCTGAAGTTAAAAGAAATATCCAAAATCTTTATTTAAGATTAGATTAAATAAGTTACGTTGACTTCGTTGTTATATTTAGCCTTAACTTTCGTTTTCTTTTTAACCCTATATTTTTCTTATAAGGAAAGAAACAATGACAGTCTTCGGCACCCTGAAGATTAAATGGCCTTGCAGAATTATGACTTGCGAGTTAACAGATATGCGAGGTGAATAGGGAAACTCGTAGTTGCTGAGCTTGGTGAGGATATTTTTAAAAAAAGGAACATTTTGCAATGCAAAAACTCATTTTTTAACAGATATGTATTCAAATTAAATGCATGTTTGGTCCAATTATCTTGAAAAACAAAAGTGTTGTTTATAGAAGGACTTAACTTTCGACAAAACACTCCTATGACAGCTATATGATATAGTCATCCGATCCAGCCAGTTGCAACACACGCACTGCCTGCAACAGAAGGACGGACCTATGCAAAGCTTATTAACGATAGCCTTAAAACTAAGAAATTGGTTTGCATAGAAAGATACAGATTAAAAATATATATAATCTTGAGGTTGGAGAGGTCTCGTTTTATGTGCTCCCTCTAAAAAAACTAAAACCTATTTCATATTAAACAAATATTTAAAATTAAGATAGAATTCTTTTCAATGAATTTTTGTCCTTTTTACTTTAATCACTTTCTTTTGCGAGCTATATAGTATTAAATCCATGAAGTTTGTTCCGGTTTGTGGTGGGTTTCCCATATAGAAAGCAAGCATTTTCCAGATCTTACTTGGCAATCCTCGAATTGCCATCAAACAATTGCTCCATCGGCTTGTCTGGGGATTTGTGCCCTGTTGTGTTGGCTTGTTATTGCCAGCAATTGCCATTCAATGACCAGCTGCAATACAAGGCTAACAAAGCGTCCTCACGAAGAAGATGACATTGGACGATTGCATCAGCTGCAAATGCAAAATTCTCTTGAAAAAGCAAATGCCGGACTAATTGAGGGTTCATGCACCGCATGCCAAGCAGGGGGAGGTAAAATGCAAATGAAATCAAGCCAATTGCTGTAGTTGTGGAATCCATTGGCCTACAGCTGGATTCGCATGCGGAGGGATTTCACCCTGGCACAAATCAAAGTGGCAATCAGACAAACTGCAGATTGACATCTGTCCGATTTGCATCTACCAAAATCCGCGTTGGGGTAGCCAGATGACTTGGCCCAATCAATAAGGCGATCGACTCCCCGATGGGTCTTCACCGAGCGACCATAAGCGATTAAGTTTGTTGGTCTCCGGGGAGAAGAGGGCCAGGCAACAGCTTCTCATGAGCTAGCTGCCAACTACGAGGGTGTTTTGTTGCTGTTGCGAGAATGTGTTGATATTTTTTGAAACAGCAAAACATTTTCGAAATTGACTAAAACCGATTTCCCACAGGATTCATATGCCAAACGGTGTGTACGGACGAGTGTGTGTGCGTATGCGGTGTGTGTGAAAGTTTTGCTGTCAGTCAAAGCTAAAGATGTGGACTCATCGGCAACATTCTCAGGCCAGGACCAGCCCACAATCGTCCAAATGAAGAAAATGTGGTTTCGGTTACGGTTTTTCACTGTTTTGCTGTGCACAGTCGAACCACCCACCCAAACCAGCCAACCACCCAATGGAACTTCAACTCACAGAAAGCCCAAAGCTTGTTTCTGATTTTTTTTCACTGCTTTTTATGGAAATTCACGAAAACTTTTCGTAGGCATTTTGTTTATTTCAGTTTCTGCTGCTATTGCTGCTGCTGCTGGGGCAGAAGGAGGCGGCAACAGCAGCAAGGAAAATGGAAACAGGATAAAAGTTTTTCTTGACTCCCATTCGGTCGGCCTCCTTCATTGCGGTTCCTGCTGTCTGGCATTCGTTTGCTGTTGCTGTTGTTGTCGTTGTTGTTGTTTATTTTATCATTATCATTGGCAATTTCTTTTAAGTGGTGCCAATCTTTTTTCACTTGTTATGCCCACGTTTGAGGGGATTACCCAGCACTTTCTCTCTCCTCTCTATCTCTCTGTGTGCACGAATTTATTATAGCAATTTTATTCAATCGACAAATCGGAAGTGATTTTGAATTCATTATAGTGGGTGGACACTCACTCTTGCTTCCGCACTATGTTATTCCTTTATCCTAAAGCACTTTATGAAGAGTAAAGGAATCAAAGTATGAATGAATGATATTTGAAAAAAGAGTAAATTTATTTTTTATTTTGTTCATTTTATATCAGAATTTTGTGACATTTCCTTATTTTTTCGCTTGCAAATGTCTGCATATACGTTGAAAATGTATATATGTATATATATATATGTATGTAAGAATTAGTTATGAATTACTAGCAAAATTGTAATACTCCAAAGAGATAAGACTATTCCACTAATATTTCGCCTATAATAAATAAACATTTTTTTACGCACTCTATGAATATGAATTACTAGCAAAATTGTAATACTCCAAAGAGATAAGACTATTCCACTAATATTTCGCCTATAATAAATAAACATTTTTTTACGCACTCTATGAATATCGTTGTAAGTCTGGACGCTAGCGATCTTTTGTTGGAATTAACTATAGTATTACTTGTAATATAATATGTTTTCTGGTTAATCTTAATAATATATAATCGTTGTAAGTATAATTGTTAAAATTAGCTTACATTTCCCTTGTCTTCTATCCAAGTACATTAGCTTTTCAAAGTACGTCCTAAGCTTTTGATAATTTTATTTGCTTAGACTTTAGCTCACACAAAGCAGCTAAGATACGCGTCAGTCGGTCAGTTGGCCTGCGTTTGGGTCAAAGGTAGAGCCCAATGGGCGCATTGACCCCATAAATTACACTCGCACACACACGCACACACACCCAGTTCCGTTCCGTGCAGTTCGGCTAAGATGCAATGCAGCCGTGCCCAGCCGCTGGCATTGGCGGGCACTTCATGGCACTTTGGTGGTGGCTTTTCCAGACACTTGCACTTTCTCCGCACGCTTAATGGACAATTAACCTTGATGCGACGGCGACTGCGACTGCGGTCCGTTCCTGACCTTGCACCACAAATGCGAGGCGGCGCAGCAAGGCCGCGTGCTGCTGCCTGCTGCCTGCTCCCGGCGCAATTGCAACAATTATTGCATTTTATAGCTGCCAAACTGCCATTTGGTCCTTATGTATTATTGCACACACACGCTTTGGGTAATTAGTGTGCACCACCACCAACTGATTAACCTAATGCCCAACATTCGGCACTCAACAGCGTTGAGCACCTTTCCACCTTGCTACTATTCCACTTGCCGCCTTGTGACCTCATGACTTGCTTGTGAGATACAATTATTCTATGGTTATTGACCTTCATTGTTGGCCTACAGCGCATTTTTCTGCTGTGGTCTAAGCAAATCAGTTACTTTCGCTTTTCACGGTCGGCTGGCTGCATCTCAAGGCTTGCCACTCGCCAAAGTCTCAAAAAATTTGACAAAAGATCTAATCGAGGTGCAAAGTAAATAATATCTATTATGGTTTAGCAAGCTTTATTGCTTATAACTATGGTCATTCTTGGCCAGCTCAAATTTTGTTTACAATAAATAGTTCTCTAAAAACATAAAAGTTGGAGATTGGAAAATAAGTCTTCTGATGATTGGGCGAAAAGCAAACAAAACATAACTATTTATAATACCTGAACCCTGAAAATGAGAAAAAAGCCTATAATGTTTCTGTGCAACTTTATGTAACAGACAGAAAGAATCATCTCCGACTCTATAAAGTATAAACATTTTGTATCATCAATAGCCGAGTCGATCTAGCCATGCTCGTCTATCTGTCCGTCCTTTTGCTCGTATGTATTAACGTGTCGCTCACAGAACCTGTAAAATCGATATCGAAATCATGTTTTCGAAACCGAATTCTTCGTATAGCTGTGAGGTATGAGGCGCTGAGGCGCAAGGTCGAATGAAGTTGCGACTACGAGTCCAGGGTATTTCCTAGCGGGCACTCCCGACTAGAGCACTCTTGTTTGTTATTAATATTATTATTATTATTATTTTTATTAATATTATTAATCAATGCATTTATAGTTTAGCATTAAGTTAAAAATATTGAATGCTAAGTTCATATAAACAGAATCCAATCTGGATCAATTTGTAAATTAAGTAAAATTGATTTATTTTAAGCTAGGCAACGCTTTTGCAATTTTTAATGAATTTTTCATTCAATTGCATAACATAATGACCTTACTAATTCTCGGGAAATTGCCAGCATTGTTCCCACAACAATAACCAAAGCAACTAAGTAATGTCCGAATTAGATAGGTTTAGGTTTTGGCCACAATGCTAAGATATATTAAGGCTCATAATGAAAAATGTAATGAGACGCATTTATCAAAAATCGTTTGTTCGTACACTCGTGCGCGAGAGAGGGCATGTATCTTGTATCTTAGCATCGTTGTATCGTTGTATCTTTGTATCTGCAGCGGCACACATAAAAAATAAATATGTATGTTCGAGTATTTGATAATTTTGTGGTATATCTTGGCCATGAACATGAATCTTTTGGCCCGCTCGCCGAAAACAGCCAGCCAAGACAGCCAAAACAAAAGCGACAAAAAAAATTAAGAAAAAAAGAAGCGAACTCAAGTCGCTTGTGGCCTTTGTATGCGGCTGGAACTGTGGGGGGATCATCTTCAAGTTTTTGACCGACCGTCCGCTGGCCATAAATCTTTGGGTATATTGGACTTTTAGACGATATCAATGAAATTGTATCTCTTTATCCGCATTATTATAATATATGGACTTTTAGACGATATCAATGAAATTGTATCTCTTTATCCGCATTATTATAATATACGGATGCGAATGCTTCGCGCCCGCCTTCGACTGTGTCCCAGCTACAGTTTCAGCCGGGGAGGTGGAGAAGCTGGAGAGGCAGAATGGCCCACCTGCCTCTGCTCTGCCTGCCTGCGCACATTTGCAGATACTTCACGACATTATGAGATATTATTTATATATATCTATTTTTTGGCATTCTCCTTGCGCTTCTCTAAATACTTACTTATGTATATTTCATTATGGGTCGCCTGGCCAGGACAAGCCCCGGAAAAGTGACTTGGAAATTCTCATTTTGATTGCGAGCCGTGCGGAGCGGACAAAAGGAATTTCACGTGCGGGTGGCACAAGATAGATTGCCACCGCCTGCATATTTATGTGCGAAATATCGTTGATACAAGCAGCAGCTCCTTATGGCAGTCGCCACATGGCAGTCGACTCCTTCGCATCCTTAAGGCCAGCCCAAGGCAGCCAAGAAAAATTCCATTAAAGGGGCCAAGCTGCTGTCAGGCTTCTGGCGGCTTGCTGTGGTTACAGGCCCAGCTCGATGGGTGCTGGGATGATGCAGCCACTCAACCACTCAACCACTCAAACACCCAGCCACCCAACCACCCACTCATTGTCAGTGGCGGCAACAACAATTGACGACACCCAGAATCACAAATCATATAGATAAGAGCACACAAAGGAATTTATTTCTATTTTGGCATTTTTCGGTCTCTCATTTTGCTTGTAATTTTTTTTCTTCTTCGCTGCTTGATGTTGTTGTTGTTGTTATTGCTGCTGCTGCTGTTTTCCTCCTCCATCGATATTTTCGGCTATTTTCACCCCAAAGTTATTGCGTTTTAGATTTTTTTTTCTGCTGAGCTTCCGCCTACAGCCTTGGGCCGCCGCGCCTGCTTCAAGTTGGCGAAACCTCGCCGCGCTACATGGCGGTCGGTCGGGCGGGGGCTCGGGCACGCACCGGAAGCGCCGATAGCGCCATGTGTCGAGTGCGTGCGTGCGTCCGTTGCCTGCGTGCGTGTCCAGGGACAGGCATTGGCGGAGGGAGAGTCTCTGCGAGTGTGTGTGTTGTGTGGGTGTGCATGTTAGTGGCGCTGTAGGGTGTTGCCACATCGTATTTCACCGACCCACCAGAAGCGCCCCCACCCGTCCACACAGCCCCATTCAGTCAGCCATCCAAGTTGTAGGCGTTCCGCTTCTTTCATTTTAATGGCGCACACGCATTTGCTTTCGATACAATAGATACGAACGTATAACATATACAACATATAGTACACAATCTCACACACCCGCAACTATCTGTTTTTACGGCTGGGCGTAGTCATATTTTATTTTCACTCACTTAGTGGCTTTAATATTTTTCATAATCATACCATTAGTTGCGCCCAATGGGCTTAGTTTTTAAATCACTTGGGAAATTTACTTGCCGATAAGATAATAAACAAACAAACATTAACAGAAACACATTTATGGATATCTACAGAAAAAAGATATTTAATTTGAAAATACAGTATGTGAAACATCTTAAAATTGCTCTTAAACATTTTTAAATTGAATTCTGTTATTAAATTAAGTTCTGTTAAGCTAAAATGAAACAGATTAAATGAACTTTAATTAACTTTAAGATTTTATTGCAATTGCGTAACTTGCAGATTCATTCAATCTGCCTTTTTATACCCTCAACACATTGGAAATACGTAAAAAGGAAACACTGGTTTTGTGCAACTTAATGGAAGCATTAACAACTCTATTAAGGTGTACTTTACGGAGTAGATCTATCCATGTCCGTTTGTATAAACGCATCGATCTCAGAACCTAGGTCTTCCTAGTGCTCCTGCAGTACGAGCTCGGTTCTGATCATCGATGGTTAGTCCCATTTCCCAGCAATCGATATAAATCGATATCGAAATCCTGTTTTTTGAGCAAATCTCTTAGACTTTAACAACTAGAGTCATAAATTTGACATTCAGCTTTTAGTATAGTATACACAGATCTAGTACTTTTCGTTTTTTGACAACACCGCGCTACCCTGTATCACGCAAAATCAAATAAATAAATCAATTGAAACAACCCACCAATTTAAGCCACAATGTTAGTGAGGATGTTTGTTTTGCAATATACAAATATTCTATCGCATTCGGAATTGGAAGAAAAAGGTTTGGGGTATCCCCTAGTCGAGCACTCCCGAGCAAAGCACTCTTTGTAAGTCAGTATTTATAAAATAATATCCAATATCATAATACTACATTTGAATATTTACCAAAAATATAATTTAGTCACTAATGTCGTCGAATTAGTTTTTAGAAAGCGTCTATAAATGTAAAAGCTGAGAGCATATTTCTTAAATGTGCAGAGAAATTCATCTATGCCAATCCAATTCTTATCAATTTAAGCCACATTCCAAACACTCTATGTAAAGTGTCACGTCTATATG